CCAAACACTACAAAAGACCAACATGCTGAAGGTGATGAATTTGGCCTCATTAAAACTGTCAGGCAATTTCCTAGCTAAAAAGGCTACAACAAAGCTGATTGTAGCTAGAAAGCCCATGTAACCTAACATACAGTAAAACATGATGGCTGATCCTTCATTGCATTCAAGTATTATTTCTCCAAAAATGGACTGCGTGTCTTGATTCAAGAATGGTGGGGAGATTCCCAACCATAAAATACAAAGGCCTATTTGGAAAAGAGAACAATAAAACACAATGGAAATGGCCAGTCTCTTGCCCATCCATTTCCTCATTCTGGATCCTGGTTTGGTGGCCATGAAGGCAAGAACCACAGTGATGGTTTTGGCCAAGATGCAGGAAACAGTTAGGGTGAAAATGGATCCAAAAGCCACTTGCCGGAGGAGACAGGTCACTTTTCTGGGTGGGCTGAGGAAAAGGAAGGAGCAGAGAAAGCAGAGCAGGAGGGAGAAGAGGAGAGCATAGGTCAGATCCCGGTTGTTGGCCCGGACAATTGGTGTGTCCTGATGCTTAATGAAGATGACCAGGACCTGGACTGTGAGCAGAGAAAATAAAACAGCAAAAAAAGATAAGCTTATCCCCAGAGGTTCTTTCAATGAGAGGTAGTTGATTGTCTTCGGAATACAATGAGATTTATTCTTGTTTGGATAGTGATCTTCTGGACACATGGTACATACATCCATGTCTAGAAAGAAGAGGTGCAAACAAAGTAGACTAAGTTAATTTCAATGCGTCTATGGAAAATTCTGGAATCATCTACTCAATCAGGCTTTCCAACAAAAAATTAAGCTACTATTTTGCTGGGCAGAAATGTGCAACACCATCCAACACCTCCTTCCACCCATTGGAAGGACTACACACACACACACACACCCACACACACACACACACTTCTTGCTGCATATCCAAAGGAATGTCTTATAGCAAAAGCAAGTGTGTGCTTCATTTCAAGGGGCATTTTGTTTCACACCATTTACTCTGAGCTCTGATACGCTTCCTGCAATGCTGAATGGCTATTTTGTATTTGGATGAAGAGCTATCTGGTCACTTCTGAAAAGATCACTGCTGATGTGGTAGATTTTCCTTTTTTGTTTTTAATTCAACTAGCGAGCCAATGAAGTGGTGAGTCTTCTAGCTGATCCCATTTCTCCTGTTTCTGTACCATTTAGTTGTCTGCATATGTTGTGCTTGATTCCCCATAATTGAGTTGAGGTAAGAACAGGAGACCAAGGCCAAATAAAGATTTATTCAGCTCAACTACTACATTAGTAAAAAGCTTTTAATTTTATGAAGGAGGAGTAATGATGGACATTTTTAACTAGATGAAAGATAAAATCATAGTTCCCTTCCTTCCTTCCATCCTTCCTTCTTTCCTTCCTTCCTTCCTTCCTTCCTTCCTTCCTTCCTTCCTTCCTTC